TTTAAATATAACCACGTGCCGTTAACATTTAACGAAAATATTTTGGCAGTTAACAAAATTGGTATAATTATGACACAAGTCCTTATAAAGTTACGTATTCACGACACTAGAACCCTGCTTGTTTTCTTCCATTTTGATCACTACTTGTATATGATTTGTTTCCTTGAATTTTTATTTAATGCAATTTGATCCTGATTCTGTTTTTAATTTTCTAATGACTTAATTTCAGCATTAACTTTAAAATATTTTATTCTAGTCATGTATTAAATTTATAGATTAAATCCCCTACATTTTAGAATTATTCATTGAGCCAATTCTCGTTCTTCTTATCAAGATAATACATATGTTATATAACGTGTTCAGTTTAGGCAGAAAAGTAAAACTAACATAACTTAATTGCATTTGAACTCAATATCAATTAGTAACCAAGCAAAACTTTAACCAATAGGCTAAATCTAATATTTATGAATCAATTAAAATATTTTTTATATAGTTTATATTATAGTTAATTATAGAAATAAAAATAGACAAGTGATGACTTAAATCTAGGCCAATTGAGAATATGATAACACTTATATTGTTAAAAAAATCTATATGTTACTTATAATTAATTTATTTAATATTTTTAAATTAAATTTATTTATTTATTAATGATTATATATATATGAAATTATATTAGAATTAAATTAAAAATTTATTAAGATACCCGAACTCATGAGCACAATTTAAAATCAAAAGATAAATTTATAATTTCAATCTAAAATATTTTTCTTATGATTATAATTTGAATATTTTTTCAATGATTTCATATATATAATCACTAAAAAATAAATATGAGAATAATAACTTTAGTTTAAAAATATTAAAATCTTAAATGAATTATAAATAAACTATTAGATTTATTTTAGTGGTTTAAGTGTTGTCATATTCTCAATTGGCCTATATGTAAGTTATCACTTATACGTTTTTTTATTTTTTATCATTAACCATAATATATATATATATATTATAATTGATTCCTAAATATTAGCTTTAGCTTATTGGTTAATGCTTGCTTGGTTATTAATTCATTTTGAGTTCAAATTCTAAATATTATAATGTATTATCTCAATAACAAGTATTAGAATTAGTTCAGTGGTTAAGGCATGTGCAGTTACCCTTAGGACCTAAGTTGGATTCCCTTAGTTGTCAAAACTCATGTTCATTTATTTTCACCTCAATTCAAAAGGTGACAAATGTCAACTTTTGATTGGAGAAAAAATTTGTTAAATTAAATTGAAAACATTCTAATTAAAAATTAAGAATTAAAGTTAATTTTGGTCATCAAATCGATTAATTATAAATTATAAGAGATTTAATCTATAAATTAATACATGACTAGAATAAAAGATTAACGTTAATGCTCAAATTAATGTATTAGACAAATTAAAAACAGAATCGGGATCAAATTGCTTAAATGAAAATCTAAGGAAACAAATCATATACAAGTAGTGACCAAAAGAAGAAAACAAAACAAGATTCCAACGCCGCGAATACGTAACTTTACAAGAACCCACACCCTAATTATATCAATTTTGTTAAATGCCACATAAACAATTCGGTTCAATGTTAACGACATGTGGTTCTATTGAAATTATTTAAATAGTTCAATGGTCATATTGACGTAAATTTGAAAATAGTGGTCATTTCGATACCAAGCCCATGGTTGGATGGTCATTTTTGTAGTTTACCCTAATTTAAATAAATAATTAACAATATATTATTTAGTACATTAATGCTGGAATTTTCAAATTGACAAGTGCATGTATCTTATTTGTAAGTTTTAAAATTTATATACTTCTCAAGTGGTATTTTTTAATGAACTTTTAAAAGATAAAGCAAGTACCCAAAACTAAATACGCAATTTGTCACTAGGTCCAAAGAGTATTTTTGAGATCAATTGCATCTTTGTCACTAGATTTAGTCCTTCTCGTAAAAGTACGGTGGTTTGACATTTACATTTTGCACATATTTAATTATGGATGGACTTACGAATATTTGAAATTTTTATTAATTTGGGTTAATTACAAGGCATTATATGTTCAAAGATAGTTTTAACCATTTGATATTAAATACTCGTATTCATAATATTTTTTGTGCTCGAACCTCATACCTCAAAGAATATTTAACCTTAAATATATAAAGTTTTTAAAAGTAGGGTAAAGTACACAATTGATCTCCCAACTATATGATGTGTTTTGTAGAGTCTCTCAAATATAAACTTAAAATAATCATCTGACTATAGGATGTTGCTTTGTTGAGTTATCTGAATATTAAAGTTACAAAATAGTCACTTAATATTTATACGTTTCAAACCTGTCATTTTCTGTTAAAAATTTATGGTCGTTTGACTGGACGTTAACATATTTGATTGAGATATGATAAATCTAATCTTATAATCATATTTTAGGGTTAACTCCGTTTACATTATGTCGTTGAGTCAGTGCTTGAAAGCAACAGTGATGTCTGTAGACATCACTAAATATAGTTTTATCAAATCTTAATGACCAGGATAATGTCCAACTCAGATGATTATCAAAATTTCAATAAAAATACAAGTTTAGAACATGAATAATCGTGATCATTTTGTAATTTTAATAGATGACTCAATAAAACAATCTTATAATTAGAGGATCATTTGTATATTTTATCTTTAAAAATAATATATGATATATTAATGATGAGTTTTTTTATTAATCATTGATATATGATATATTGATCAACTAACCCCACAGAGGCTCTTATCCTTGGGGTCGTAGGATCGAGTCCCACAGAGGGCATTTCATAATTCGGAGGTCTCCTACGGAAGCTGCACCCAACCTGGCATTGGGGCAGCCACTATCCTACCTCCCCCTTACCCCATACATATGGGAAAGGGTCAGTTAATTTTTTTATTTAATCCAAATTGGATTTTGCATAAGTTCATTATGGAGCGATCCTTCCAACCCAATTTACTTTATATGCAAACATCAGAATTCGAACCCAATTAGTAATTTTTTTAATTTCACAAGGTATTTATCGAATGTCACATATTTTATTCACATTATCCAACATATATGCATTTGATATAAGCTAGCTATTAATATTATTGATTTATAACAAATCGATCACTTGTATTAACATCTGTTAATACAGTAACGGAATGTTGACGGGCGTGTTAAATCAATTGCCGTTTAACTTCTTATTTTTGACAAGTAGAAGTATGACTAAATAATGCCAATCATACAAAGAAATGATATACTAATATGGACCTCATTAAGAAACCTTCTACACCTAAATAGAGGAAAGAAGTGTTCATGTTCATGTCGAAATAAGAATCTAACTACATTTGATCGATCTGCAAATTACATCAAAATGGCTGAAGCTAATACACCCCAATGAACTAACTCTACCCACTCAGATTGGAACTCCAGTAACACAAACCAGACCACCTAGAGACAAGCAGCCACCGACTTCAATCTGAGGATTCCACACTTTACTAAGCCATAGGAAGTACCACCAGAATTCGGCCTGGAATTCCCGATAACCTGGGATTTAAATAGCGATCCCGATCGTGATGTGTGTGATACAGCATAGTGGTGTCCTCTGAAACGTTATTATATGACAGCGATACCCGTAATCCCCGCAATAGCACCCTCTGTGTTCGCAATCGCGACAAACGCGACCGCTATTTGAATCCCTTTCGGTAACCGCCAGCCATCAAACAACACACCACCAGCTAACAGACAATGCACCAGAGGCCAAAACAAAAAACCAACCATTCTCAAAAAGCGAAAATACAACCTGTTGAACAAATACTCCCATCCACCTTTCAACTTGCCTCAAAATCAACGGGGGAATCTCACAGCTTTCTCACGATCCCCTAACTCAACATGAAATGCTCGACTTGGCACAAACATGGAACCCTTTATCTTCTACTTTAGATGATGAGAAGAGGAAGACAAATACTTGAAATGTTTCTTTTGGAGAATGTTTCAACGACACCGAAGAATCATCTCACCATTCCCATTGCATCATGTTATAAACACTGCTCATTTATCTAGGAAAAAAAACCGTATGGCATTTCTCGTGGAATGCAAAGAGGCAATCATGGCATCATAATGGCAAATAAACATCATGCTCATCCTCTTCGTGCATTAAAGTCAGATTCATCTTTAACATGGATGCCAACTTGAATTTGGATCCATTTAAGACAGTTTTAGAAGAAGTCAAATGATCGGTCAAACGTGCCAAGTCAGTGGTTTAACGTATCACGTCAACATTTTGTTACTATACTAATGACTATTAACGGCGAGTGACGATTTGTTATAAATCAATAATATAGTGACCGATTTGTTATAATCAATAATGTTAGTGACCGATTTGTACTTTTGAAACTTAAGTGAAAAAAAACAAAAACTTACTCAAACATAATGACTACTTGTGTAGTTTGCCCTATATAATTAGAATCATTCAATAATGTAACAAACACTGGACAGGGTCAAATATCTACCAAAAAAACACACGCATAAACGTTCCATAGGCGAGTCAAGTTGGTCCCCATTATACATAAAACCATGTGGAACTCATTAAACTAGGAATGTCAACGGGACGGATTTTGCTCCCTCATCCCCGTCCCCAAAATAAATCTCCGTCTCCGCCCCCGCCCCGTTTCCCGTTGGGTTTTTTATCGGGACGCCCCGTTGGAGATTGTTTTTGCCCCGTCCCCGAACCCAACCCAAAATGTTGTACCCGTACCTGAACCCGATTACTGTATGCAAATTATTTACAAAAATTGGCATAATTTATGTATTGTTTAAGGATGGTTAATCAAATTTCAAAGTAGTTTGCTGTTGGTGTTAGATAATCCATAATCAAACCTGCTGAAGTAATTGTGAATTAAAAGTCCATTTTAAAGTTTCCAGTCTGCTACATTGTGTAATTTTGCAGAGATTAGACGACTAGCTATTAAATTCAATAAAATTAAAAGACCACATCAAATCATATTAGCAATCATTCACGTCAAAGTAGTAATGTTGACAAAGAAATATAGTGATTCCTCAACCAATAGTTCCAAACATCACAATTTCCATATCACAATTTACCTCATCCAACAGTTCCAAACATCACAATTTCCAACAGTTCCAAACATCATTCCCAGTCTTCTTTTGAATGCTAGCACCAACACCATGGGACTCTGCTGTATCAGATTCCTCATTCCTCTGCAGTTGAATCATACTGATGCAACAACGGCAAAAGGTACCTAAACATCCAAATGACACAAGTTATCAAGTAATAAAGGATTATAGAAGTAACTTATATGATTGCTACAATGTCATTCTCATATACATCCAGTAGAAATAGTTTTTACATCCAGCATAAAAACAGAAAAATCCTAATAAATGTATAATAATAGGAAAAGATGGAGAAAGTAGTGACACCAAAAAGACTCCGACATTCACAGCTAAACTGCCTAAGACTCCAAGCCAGTAAATAAATCTTCATACCAACCATGCTCATAAGAACAAAATAAAGTGATCAGTGTTTGAAGCAAAAGATCAATACAGCAAGGAGAAAAGGTATAATAGGCAATGCTACAGGTTGAGACAGGAAGCAGAGCAGAAGCAGGACAATTTGAAAATCTTAAAATAATTGCATAACCTTAACAAAATGTAAATATAACCTCCAACTGACAGTCAAAATGCATAAATAAATCTTATATCACAAGTTTGAGCCTCAAGAGGGATAGTACTTGGTCACGTCTTCTTATACATGACTGCAAAGGTTTGGTCTGGAAGAGATTTTAAGCTTGTTACAAGCTTACCAGGTCATGAAGCGAAAGTCACCGCTTCAGATATTAACGAAGATGGGAGATATATTGTGACAGTCTCTCATGATCGAACTATAAAGCTATGGACTGTCGGTAACATTGAAAAGGAAAATGATATGGATTTCGACTGAGGACCGTTGATTTGGTAGATCTTGAAATAACCTTATTTGGAGAAGTTTAGTAGGTGGTTTATCTGGTACTACTGTTGAATATAATTTTGAATTCAGATTAAAACAATAATTGTTTAGGGAGCAAACCATGTATCAAAATACTGAAGTGCGTTTAGGATTCTACAATGGCATTATTTTAATGCGACGTAAAAAAAAATGCATAAATAAAACCTAGCTGATACAAATCGAAATATAATCTTTTCCTTTTTCATTTCAAAAAACGACTGAAATGCCATGCCATCAATGTACTCCAATTCTAAGCAAAGAAAAAAATATATATTCATAATTAAAATGATCAATTCCTTCGTAATTTCCACTAACCAAGCAAAGAAAAAAAAATTAACTCAAGAGATACTGAAATAAGAGCTTAAAATAAAACTGTATAAACAGGCAGTCAACCACATGCATACTAGGCGTATAGAGACATAAATTCGAAGAATTAGAAACACTATTCATAATAAAAGAAAATTTAATTGTTCAAAATTTTTAAAACTCTCAGCGAAAAAACCATAGCATTCGAAAATTGTAAAAAATAAAGCGAAAAAAGGTACCTCATTTTTCATAAACATGAATCCAACATTCACAGCTAAACAATTGAGATAGGAAGCAGACCAGAAGCAGGAAAATTTGAAAATCTTAAAACAATTGCATAACCTTAACAAAATGAAAACCTAAATACGAGAAATAAATACAAAACCTAGTATCATATAATAAATCTTGCTTTAGCTCAAATTAACCGACCAATGAAAAGCAGTGCTCTTCTAGAATCCTAAATTTTGGGCATGGAGTGGGTTTCAGTTGTTTCCATGAAACAGAGAAGTTTAAACTTTCAAAAGGAAAAATTATCCATTACTTTAACGACAAGCATATTTTCAAAGTCCCAGAGATTAAATTCGATTCAAAATCCCCTCAAAATATAATTAATCAAAAAATCAACCGTGACTACTAGATTCAGAACCAAAATTAAAGGAAACTGAGAAGATAAGGATAGAAATACACAACCCTATCGAAAGTAACAAAACCGAAAATCAAATAGCAGAATCGAATGTATAGAAAAGTAAACACATAAAGGAAGAACGAACCTGACGACTGACGTTACCGGGCGCAATTTGTTGATGAAAGGAATATTTCTTGATAGTGAGAAAATTGGATCCGGAGAGTGGAGAACGAAGAGAGCAGCCGCAGATAAGAGTGTAAAGTGAGGATCGGGTGAGAACTGAGAAACCTAGGTTAAATCATTTAAATATAAAAAATAATAAATAATAAAATATTATATATATATATATATATATAATCGGGTCGGGTCGGAGTGGGGATAACTTGCCCCGATATTGAAACCGAACTCGAAAAAATCCCGAAAAAAATCCTAATATCCGACCCGACATGAAAATTTTCAAACCCGACACGAACTTTGTCGGGTTTCGAGTTTCCTGTCAGGTTCGGGTCGTTCTGTCATTCCTGAATTAAACTTATAATTATATGTCAAAAGTCATAGCTTAGGCAGGCAGCCGCCACCTTTGCACCACCACACTGGGAACTGACATCGGTATATTTTGTGCATGATCTTTTTAAGGGTGAAAAAGGTTAACACTTCAATATATTCTAGTGACTGTAATGGTAGTAAAACTAACATGGAATTTTTATGATGCAATCGGTGTTGGATCTATTAAGGCGTGAGGGTAGGCTAATATTTACTTTAAAATTTATTCTTTTAGATATTATTTATTTTATTGTGTTTACTTTAAAATTATTTTTGTGTTTATTCTTTATATATTATATTGTATGATCTCCATTTGTTTATGTTTGTCAAGGCTTTGCATATGAAATGAAAGTATCATCTTACCAAAAGAAAAATAAATAATATAAAATTTAGTTCAAATAAATAATATAAATTAGTTCAAATATTTGTGGGAGTGAGATTAAATTAATCTACTTAAAAACAGAAGGTAAATTTGGATTGATCTTACGATAAAGAAAATAAATTGGTTAATTTAATAATAATAATATTGTAATTATATTAACACTTTTAAAGTTTATTGTCATAATCTAATCATGTTAATAATAAAGCTAAATAATGGTTTGTGAAACTAAGCAATGTATTAATTTTTCAGATTTTATTGATAATTAAAAAATATTTTATTTAGCACGAACCAATTTATTTCAATAGTTAAAAAAATCGTTATTGTTTTTAAAAGTTAGAATAGCTTGATCGTTCATTATGAAATTGAGAAATATTCATTCAAGCTTAACCATATGAGTTTTCGACGAAAGCCAACAATGGAGAAATATTCATTCAAGCTTAACCATTTCTAGTTCTATAAATACTTCATAGTATTTCCTTGCTTATTCCCTCAAATTAATATTCAGTTTAGGCATCGTGGACACAACTTAACCTCTTTCGAACCCATGGCTGCTTTTCGTGAAGATTTTAGTGACGATTATTTTCTACTGGACCCAGAAAAGGCAAGTTTGTTTGATCTTCTTAGCCTACTTTTGTCACATCAAATGGAAAACAGAAGATTCATTAAGTCCCGAGGGAGCCAACGTCAAAGCTTTCGTCATCGATAGACCGCCTTCGTCCCGGTTCTTGTTCAGAAACTCCTCATTTGGGCAACGACACCTATGGCCTTTATAGGGGATACCATCGAGCTGTGGCTAAATCTTTTATCTGTTAACGGTGGCCTCTATCATCTCCTAATAAATCTTGCAACAGGTAAACTATATCAATGGGATGACCTGCCTTTGCCTGTATTCTTTAATATAATCAATCTTCGATTGCATTAAACCCCATGTTATTGCATGAAGTTGAGTTTGAAGGATTCTGAGACTTGGTTTTATGGTGCAGGGAAAATAGAATGGCCTAAGAGATCATCGGCGATATTTACATCGTGCATAGGAAATGCTGATATTCGCTCTGGATTAGATCAAAACATTAAAGCAAGTGACGCAAAATACAAAGCGTCGCTGACTATAATGGCTTCCAAGATTTCCTATGAGAATGAAGTCTTCATTGAAACCAAAGTCACTCAACTTTGCATGGATTTGTTAAAAAGCTAAATGTACTTTTCAACCCAACAACAATGGAGAATTGATTTTTTTACTTTAAATAAAAAATTATTTAATTTAAAATAAAATAAGAGTGATTATCTAAATATTATGAAATTTATAAATAAAAATATAATAAAAGTAATTTACATATCATTTCTCCTGGTAATAAAAATAAATTTTCTAATATAACAAGTGTTGACGAAAACGGGTAAAGAAAACGAAAGAACACGAGAATTTTACGAGGTTCGGCAATGTGCTTACGTCCTCGGTGCCTAGGCGGCGCTAGAATTTTATTCAAATAATGTTTTAGGTCTAGGTTACATCTCTATTTATAATAGAAAACCCTGGTACATAATTACAAAATCAACCCTGTACCGTACCGCGGGGGCTGCGCCCCCGCACCCCCAACCCACATAATTTGTAACCCCACAACGAGACTTTCTTTGTAAGGACAGTTGATGTTCGCTCACTCCGCTCCATCTCCTGTCCTCTTTACTGGTATATTTATGAGCCATACCTAACAAATCTCCACCTTGGCGAATATCCTGCCCCTTGGAAACTTCAATGTGGGTTGGGTTACCTTGCTTCTTTAACAACTCGAAACATTCAACAAGTCCAAGCAATGCTTGAACTTGTCTGTCGTAACTGGCTTGGTGAACATATCAGCGCATTCTCATCAGTATGTACCTTCTGAAACAAAACCTCTCCAGATGCAACCAACTCTCTGATCTTGTGGAACCTTACATCAATATGTTTAGTTCTAGCACGATACACCTGATTCTTAGCCAAGTGAATAACACTTTGATTATCACAAAGCAACTGAACTCCACCTTGTTGAACACCAAACTCCTTCACTAAACCAGTAAGCCATAAAGCTTCTTTTGCAGCTTCAGTTGTAGATAGTGCCACGACAGATTGAACAGTAGACTTCCAGCAAATAGGCCCTCCACCAAGAGTAAACACATACCCTGTCGTAGATCTTCTATTATCCAAGTCACCTGCATAATCTGAATCCACATATGCTACAACCAAAGGATTATCCCGCTGACTCCCAAAAACAATTCCATGTCCCACATTACCCTTTAAGTACCGAAAGATCCACTTGACTGCATCCCAATGTTGCTTACCAGGTTTAGACATGTACTTACAAACTTGACTAACAGCATGAGCTAAATCAGGACGAGTACATACCATCGCATACATCAAGCAGCCAACATCATTAGAATACGGAACCTTTGCCATATTTTCAGCTTCCTTATATGTCTTAGGGCACTGTTCTGATGAGAGCTTAAAGTGATTCGCCAATGGAGTGCTAACTGGTTTCGCGCTGCTCATCGCAAACCTTTCTAGCATTTTCTCAACATAACCCCGTTGAGATAGCCGCAGTTTCCTTGAGTCTCTGTCCCTGCAAATTTCCATTCCAAGAATTTTCTTTGCAGCACCTAAATCTTTCATATCAAATTCCTGACTCAATAAAGTTTTCAAACCGATAACATCATCCATGTTCTTCGCAGCAATCAACATATCATCAACATACAGTAATAGAAAAATAAAAGAACCATCATCAAGGCTCTTAACATAGACACAACAATCATACTCACATCGGTTGTAGCCAATCTTGATCATATAGAAGTCAAACCGTTTATACCACTGTCTCGGAGACTGTTTTAACCCGTACAAAGATTTCTTCAATCTGCAAACTAAATGCTCATTTCCAGGTTGAGTGAAACCTTCAGGTTGCCGCATGTAGATCTGCTCCTCTAAATCACCATGCAAAAAAGCAGTTTTAACATCCATCTGCTCTAAATGCAAATCCCAACTAGCCACCATGCAAGTACTGCTCAGATTGAAGTGTGCCTGACCACAGGAGAAAAGATTTCATCATAATCAACTCCTTTCTGCTGTGAAAAACCCTTCGCTACCAAACGAGCCTTGAACTTCTCCCCCTCTTTTTCTGTTACTGCTGGTTTCTTCTTATACACCCATTTGCAACCAATCGGCTTCTTACCCTCAGGAAGGGGAACTAACTCCCATGTGCGATTGTGATTCAAAGACTCCATCTCCTCAACCATGGCTGCCATCCACTTGTCGTTTTCCTGACTAGTAACGGCATCATGAAAAGTAACTGGATCATCACTGCTAACAGTAAGTGCAAAAGATACCAAGTCTTCAAAACCCAATATGTTCGGAGGCTTTATATTCGTCCGTCTCACCCTGTCTCTGGCGAGACTATAATCCTGCAAATCATCCGTAGTGGAACCACCAGAAGTCGGTTGAGAAGTTTCTGGTTTCTCAACTGGAAACTGCTCGAAATCTACCACTGTCGTGTCTTGCTTCTGCTGCAACATAGACTGTTCATTAAAAACGACATCTCTACTAATCACAACTTTCTTCGCAACTGGATCCCAGAACTTGAATCCTTTGACACCTTTCTTGTAACCCAGAAAAATGCACTCCTTCGATTTTGCATCAAGTTTGGATCTCATCAGCAGGTACATGCACATAAGCAGGACAACTAAAAATCCGTAAGTTATCAAAACTAACATCATGACCAGTCCATACCTCTTCTGCAACTTTCCCAGCCAGTGATGCCCTTGGCGATCTGTTGATAAGGTAACACGCCATGTTAACAGCCTCAGCCCAGAAGTGTTTGGGAAGCCCCGCATTCAACCGCAAACATCTGGCTCTTTCATTCAACGACCTGTTCATTCGTTCCGCAACACCATTCTGTTGTGGTGTCTTGCGCACTGTAAAATGCCTCTGAATCCCATGCTCCTTACAGAATTGTAGGAACTGTGAATCTGTGTACTCCGTACCATTGTCAGACCACAAACACTTGATTTTTCGTCCTGTTTGGTTTTCTACCTCAGCTTTCCACAGCTTGAACTTCTAAAAAACTTCAGATTTCTGTTTCAAAAAATACACCCAAACTTTCCGTGAAAAATCATCAATAAAAGTAACATAGTACCTAGATCCACCCAAAGACGATGTCGTGGAAGGCCCCCATACATCAGAATGCACATAATCAAGAATCCCTTGAGTTGTGTGCTTCGCAGTCTTGAAACGGACTTTAGTCTGTTTACCAAGAACACAATACTTGCAAAAATCGAGCTTACAGCTTTTGACACCATGCAACAAGTTTCTCTTGTG